GTAAGTCCGTTCAAATTTTACACACGCCCTAGCTTTAGCTACTTTGCTGTTACGTGTCTTTGTTATCCGATTGAAAAAGTGCTGCTTTATTGCTTTTACTGTCGCCAAACCACTGACTTTGCGCTTCCAATCTCTAGAAATGGCGCATGTTTTCTTTGATTGAAACCTTTTCTGACATTGCGCAGTCAGTGGCGTTTCTGCACTCGGTTTCTTGCATCTGGTTGTTAATTTTCATTCCCTCTTGATCAGTTTAATGCAACCCCTTCTTACTTTCATTTTCTTTACCTTCTATCTGCATTAAACCTCATTTTTTGTTATTGTTATTTATTGTTATTCTGGCAATGTGAGTCGTGACAACTGGATCCATCGCACTTCAGTTCCCGGATCATAGTTGTTCATTTGAACGGAATCTCAATATATAACAACATTACGCCTTCTAGACAAAGTAAGCATACAGGGCCTGGTGATTTTTCTCTTTCCTTGCTAAAAAGCGGTGGCAATTCACTGATTATTGGATTGAATTCCATGTGCTTTCGCACAAGCGATTGTCAACCGTTGTTTTGACCCTCTGGAAGTCCAGCGAACGTCTTGCGAAAATGTAGACACTGACCACATTGCACGGTACTTCCAAACGTCCCACATACAAACCTCAGTTGTTCACATGTTAAAGAACTGAATGCCACACAGCCTTCCGCCACAACGGACGCTGCACACAATTTTTAAAATACCAAAATTGCGCTGCCTGCGGACAAATCAGTATGCCTACCCTACCTTACCATAAGCCACATTTGGTTCTTCGCATCATGCCGCCTTTCGACATTGTCTGTTCCTTGAAGGTGTGTCGGGGAAGTCTGTTTCCATATTCTTCATTTTACTCCAGCCCATATGTCGCGTGAAAGTCCGAGGTAAACTTTCTTGTGAAATCCTCACGACATCATACTTCTTCTGTAGTGTAGCTTCTGCGGGGTGACCGACGGACAAATTTAGACCAAGCAGGTGGTACAACTTTTTTACCAGAGATTCTGAACAGAGTGGCGCATAGCGCTGCGTGTGCTTCGCACTTTCGTAGTGCAAAGCATTACAGCAGGACTTCCGACATGCCACTGTTTCTCATCATCACTGAAGTAGGGTAAAGTCACCAGCAGTACTCCGGCACATTGTACCTACCATTCGCTGCCACGTGACCACCTGAGTATACCGCAAGGACGTCCACCCCCCGAACCGGTGACCTAAGGATTGCAAGCTAGGCGTGCAATCCTTTCGGTCACCGGCCGACATCATCAATGAACATTTACTGGAATTGCTTCTGTGCCAAAGAACCCTCTTCTGCCTCATTGACTTGCTTTACTTATGTCACATACTCCATATGCCTTTTGACCGGCTTGCTCGGCCTGTACTAACTGCCGTCGCTACCCATTGCTTAGAGAAACCTGGAGGTGGCCAACCGATGACTTGACATAAAGACATGAAGAAGTTAATCAGGCTGGTGAGTGCCTTCTTCAAGTGTAGAGAATTCGGTATGGTCCACATTAGTGCTTGAAAGACCTATCGGCTGTAGCGCAGTCTCTCAGCCAGTACTTCTTCTGCACTTGTTCCCTTCTTTCTTTACTCCTGTTTGCGCTCTACCTCATATTCTCACCGTCGTTACTTATTATTGTCCTGTCGATTTTAGTCCTGACAACTAGATCCACTGCACTTCGGTGTCCGAATCATATCTTTATTACTAAATTTAACTGAACCTGGTGTGGTTGACCGCTTTATTTATCTGGAAATGAAATCGCCGTGGGATATGATTTTTTCGTTATATGGTGGGGTTTTGCAACGCCACCGCCCTTTCACTATAGCTTCCTGGATCAGGAACATGGCCACTTCGCTCTGTGGACATTGGGTTGGACTACCAGCTACTGCTTTGTGTCGCCTGTTCTTTTCTAGCAAGCAGTATCAAAGTCGGTCACTTGATTGAGAGTTTCCAGTGTTGCTCTTTCTCCCCCAGCACCACTTTCCGATCGGATGCATCCTTGTTTAGAGGTAGCCGGAGCTGGCAGCGAAGTTCATGACATATTTGTTCGGCTTAATCACTAGACTTTTAAGCTCCATTAGCATCCAATCCGATCATATCCAACAGATGGTTTTTATTAACATACCCTCTCACTTATTTGTCTGTATGACTTGCACCACTGTTGTTACCCCTTTCGGGTGTTTGTAGACCATCTTCTATTTTGGCGTGCATTATTCACCAACCCTACACCTGTTTAGACGAAGCGTCAAACTACCTAACTAGATTTTGGATGAGTGTTTATTATCAGATGAAAACAACTCACCAGCACAGAATGCTAGCGTATCTTTAGTACTCTAGAAATAATACCGAGTAAAGAGCTGTCTATGCTGGGTTGCCATGGTCGAGGCTGATGAAACATATGCTATGCTTTGTCGTCTCGGTCAGCCTAAGCTCGACTGACTGTTGGACATGCACTTGACATCAACCCATGTGGTATGCAATGTCTGACTGTGTTTGGTGTGAATGTTGACGAGGTGTCTACCTGCCGAAAACTCTCCACCTCGATTGCCTTCTCCAAAAGACAGTTAATGCTTGCCGGTGTTGGGGTACATTGTCTTCGTGACTGTGTTTGGCTCAAAAGGTGGTTCCCTCCATTGTAGAACGGGTTATGGCCCAGCTGCTGCCTTGGGTACGTCTGGTACACACTTTTTTCCTAGTAAACAGGAATGGTGCACATATTGAATGAGTGTGGGCCGGCTCCGTTAATGTAATGTGGCTCCCATCCACGTGCCCCCCTGTCTTATTCCTTCGGGTTTACACTGGATATGGGGTGTGTGATTGGAGCTGTGGGTGGTGCAGCGCAAGCCACCTATGGTTCCTCTGTAGGCGCAGGCGTCCTGTGGAGGCCACAGTGACAGGCAAATCCTAAACCGGAGGCCGCCAAACATTCGGACTCCAATATTGCTATTATGCTAATCCTGCGTTGACTGAACCAGGTGATCAAAATGAAACGCCATGGAAAGCTGACCAATTGCATGACAGTGCACCTGTGCACACTTCTATTGTTGTAGCTGCCAAATTGAACACCCTGGGTTTCCACCTGGTCCATCCTCCTACTCATCTGATCTGGTCCGGCTAAATCATCCTCTCGTGCGGAACGTGACGAAGGGGCGATGTTTTGAAGACATTTCTAATAACCAACATGCCGTTGACGGCTGGTTTGATGCACAACCAAATGACTTACCTTATCGGCCTAGAAAAAACGCAAATACGCTGTACGAAGGGCGTCGGTTTTAGGGATGAATATGCTGCATAAATGTATTATTCCATGATTCCTGTCTAGGTCTGGGCGCCCTGGCAGTATCCCAGCTCACATACAACCATGACATTTTCTTCAAACATAAACTTCATCCTGCATCGGCCGTCGCGCAGATTATCAAGGGTCGCCTTATCTGCTGCATACAGCAGGGCGGATAAGCGAAAGCATGCTACTGCTGGCGCCTCCCTTCTTTCTTTTCCACCTTTTTCTCTTACTCCCATCCCGGCCCCTATTACTAATTTTCCTTCTATAATTCCCAGCTTAATTGACAGCAACCGAAGTGCTACTGGAGTAAAACCATCTGCAGCCACCATCCCACAGCACCTATCGGATGTCTATCGTCAAAAGTCCCTTATAAGGCCACGCTGTCCCGTTTCCATGGCGACATTCAACGTCCGCACTCTAAGACAAACAGGTCAGCAGGTTGCACTCGCACGCACCTTGGACACACTGGGTGTTGATGTGTGTTGTGTGTCCGAAACTAGGATTAATGACCCCAACGGGGTTATTGAATTGACTGCACCCGGCTTATCCTCTCGTTATTGGTTGCACGCATCCGGAGACGCCGATGCGACACTCACGGGTCAAGCTGGTGTAGGTATCATTCTCAGCTCCAAGGCTGAGTCATCGTTGGTTGATTGGATTCCGGTGAACAGCCGTTTATGGGCAGTCCGTTTGACGACATCAGCTAAGGTAAATTCCCGAAGTAAAACAAAATGCGGTTTGTTTGTGATTCCTGCTTATGCTCCCACCGACTGCAGTTCTAATGCAGCCCATGACACTTTCTATCACGAACTGAACACGCTGCTACTAGTTCAGATATTATAGTACTTGCGTCGGCCGGTGGCCGAGTGGTTGGCACGTTTGCTTTCCAACCATAAGGTCACCGGTTCGAATCCGCGTAGGGGTGGGCGTCCTCGCGGTATACTCAGCCCGCGCGCGACTGGTGGTGGTCGCGCGGCAGCGAAGCGCCGTTACGGCGTATAAGCTGACACATTAGGCTGGCTTGCCGAACAACCTCCGGCTGGCTTGCCGAATAACTCCTCGTGGTGCCAGCTGGGTGGTTCGGGATTTTCCCGTTCCATCAAATGGTTCGGCGGCAGTGTTCCAGGACGTGGTGGGTTTTCGCCTGGCAAGCGTTCTCCCTATAAAAAGCCACATATGTCCGTTTAACAACACTGTGACGTGGCGGACGTGACTCGCCACTAAATAAAGTCACTGCCCCTTGCTTCAACCTGGCGAAGCATTGTATTCCAGCAGCCTTATGCTGTACTTCTGGGGAGCATTGGGCCCCTGTTTGACAAAGGAACAAACGAAAGGCGTATGAACTGAGCAATCAGTCACCGGTTCCCAATGGGCGCGATTCCCTGAATTCGCTCCGCTGCCTTGCGGGCAGGCTATTCAGCCAAAGGCTCGGGGTGGTGTCCCTAAGTCAACACCCTACTTCGGCTTGGGCAACCGGGTAGTATCTCGCCCTCTGAGGAAACCATGGACATTGTTGTGTTGTGTTTTATTGTACTGTTTCTGTACTTTCGTTTGAATCCCATGGTTTCTGATGGCATTATGTCTGTTAGCAGACTTTGCAAATATATATACATATATATATATATATATATATATATATATATATATATATATATATATATATATATATATATATATATATATAGTACTTGCAGGGGA